TTTCCTTCTAAATAGCGCTCGAAGGTGAACTATCAAAAGACTTACTAGCACATGGCTGCTGTCAACATTCGCCTCGAGTAAAATTATTTTGGGAGTACCTTTCCCTTTGACAGAGATAATATGGAAGGGGGGTAGGGTTTCCTAATTTCTAATTTTGATGAGTGACTGCTGTCAAAAAAATTTTTTCCTTAAAATTGCAGTTTAATTTATGCGGTGAACGAAAATATTTGGTAGAGTGGACTACTTCGGCATTCATGCTTGGCAATATGGTCGGTGCTAGCACTTTGACACGGTTATCAGATAAGTAAGTACATATTCCAACTTATTCGCATGCACAGCTCCAAAAGATCAGTCATTTTAACGTCGCTTGGTAACTAAGAAGTGTCATGCACTAAAAAACTTAAATTACAATTTGTTATTTTAACCAACTGTACTTCATTGTTGCTCCTTCAACTATGCAGTGGTAACCCTTTAGTTGATCCTCCCAGTACAAAATTACCTGGCGGTCAACTCACTGTTGGTGTTCCTAACATTTCGAATGCTTTTAAGACAAATAATAGTGTTCGAAAATTACTAAATGTAGGCAAAAAAATTTAATGCCTTCTTTTCACTAAATAATTGGCCAACGCACGGGCTGCTCTTGTGAAAACGCGTTTTTTGCGTAGTTGCCCGTAGTTTTTGTTGCTACCGGCACCGGTTTTTCCGGCAAATGCTTCTAACTAAACAAATTAAGACTGCCCGCCAGAATTGTCAGAAAACACCTCTTTAAAATTTTAACTTTCTAGTTTTCTTGGCTCCTCAGTTGGCAATTAACCCAAAAAAAATAACTTTCACGGGCCCGCACGTAGGTACTACGCATACCTGGTGTCTAGGTTTGAGCTCGTTGAGACTTACGTGGACAGGGAACATCTCCTTAAAACCCCAGCCTTCTCAGGTTCAGGTTCCCGAGTTAACGACTTACCCGGAGAAAATTTTGGCGGGCCCGTGCCACGCGGATGAGAGCGCCCATTTCGGAAATGGGACATCGTACACGCATGTAGATTAAGTTCCCCAAGTTTCAGCTCTGTAGCTTTTGTGGTTCTCGAGACGAAAAATCGGGACAGACGCGCAGCGCACACACAACCCTTCGTCAATATGCGTTTTCTGCATTGCATATCTTCAAAAAACGCACAAAAAATTGTGACAAAACATTTCGCTAAAGCGCTCCTTTGCCTCTGGATATTGATTGTGGAAGAAAACCTTCAATGGTGATGGCCTGCTTCACTAATATTTTCAAAACCCCGGATATCGATGTAGGGGTTCGGTATAGCTTGTTTTATTGAAAAATGCTACCGCACCGCTCGCAGCTTTAACAAGGTGTTTGTCTTGTACTGTTTGTTTCAGTTAGCACCATCACTTTTTACACCACTTTAGCTTAAGCGTAAATTTATCTTGCGAGCAAAAAGGACGTGTCAAACTCTCTCAAGCATTTACCAAATAGTTCTATTTAATGTACCACCCAAAACAGCTGCTAAAATTCAGGATTGGACGACGTCCGATCCTTATTTCCAGCTTGCTGATACTCGGAATTACTGGATCACTTTCGGCACTTGCTTCTGGTATCATCTCGCTTACACTTGGCCGCTTCGTACAAGGAATATGCTCGCCGGTTTGTGCTTTAATGAATTTTTCCGACAAGAGCGATTGCAAATGGATGTTTTTCATCCAGGAGAAAAAATGCATTCATAAGACCTTACTGAGAACCTTGCATCATAAAACCTTGCTGCAGATAAATCGAAAATTTTTTTTACCTGGTATATTCTAGCCAGGACCGCAAGCAGGCTGACCGCCAAGGCGACACAGCGTTAGCCAAAGCCATTCAGAAAGTTGACAGCTGCAGTTCGTAGCTGAAGAATCAGCTATGAGCAGCAGCTAGTCAAAGCACAAAGTATTTTCTAGCATAAAGAATAAAATGAGAAGCAAGTAAATTCTATCGAATATTACATAAATACGGTCAGTAAAAGCTGCATGCTTTGTATAATGGTAGATTTGGTGTTTAGAGTTCTGTCTGAAAGCACTGGTAAAAAACTTTCAGTGGAAGATTCCTTTAGCTCCTCGGCTCGCTTCGATACGCAACTCTAAACCTCCTAGCCTCAAATGAATTGCGTTAGCGGCTGTCCGTCGTTGGCAGAGTCATTCTAATCACTTCCAAACGCCTTGGACTTTCAACGGAAGCAAAGCACATAAGAAGTTTTACCATAAAATCAACAATTCCTGAAGGAAAAGTTATCCATTTACTGCGTCAGTCGCGGTTTGCTGCCCCAATAGGCCTAGACGAAAACAAGGCATCTCTGGCTGAAAATAAACTTCCCTTCGTTACGGCTAATCTTACTAAAATATCACTTACCTACATAAATTTACTTTTAGGGAGTATTGTTAGTGGCTTGGGTATTAGGCTACGAAAGTGTCCCGATACCACTACGTGGA